GGGGTCCTCTCTGCATTGACCATACCCTCAGGGAACCAAAAGGGCTCTTCTCCCAACCCCTAGCCCAATCTGAGTGGTGTTCCCTCTGCACAGACACAATTGTGGGAATCTCAGAGAGACCTGAGCCAGAGTCAAAGTTCATGTCCTACTCCTGAGCTTTTTTGTGCTTGCAGTATCAGACCTGTTCTAACGTAGCCCTACAAGAGCTGAGTGCTGTCTCCAGGCTAAGTTCCTCATTTCTCTCACAATTTTATCTCCAGTGAAGTAGACTCTCAAAAAGCTCAGAATCACATCTTTCTCACAGGCAGCAGGACAAGCTCAGGGGGAAGCTGAGACATGGCATCCCTTGACATCTACAAACATGTTCCTAGGTATAAGCACTCATATCTTCATACTCCAAGTTACAGTGTGCTGGAACACCTGTGAGAGTCATCTTGCAGGCCCACAGAGAACAACGGTGTTATACTGCTCTTGCCTCCTCTCTGGCCAGGAGAAGATAAAGACAGTACAACCAAACTTTTTTCACCTGAGACCATGACAGTACCATGTTTCCACTTGGCCAAAGACAGAGCACTGGAAAGGTCTTCATTTCCCCTTCTGTTTCCTGGCTGATACAGACAAACCCAAGGCGAATGTTGGAGCACTGTGCCCAGGAGGCAGGTCTCAGCATCCTGAGGAACATCGGCCCATCCAGACCTCTGGTGCTGTGGGCTTTGCAGGGCCCTGTGCTGCCCGCAGGCAGGGCTGGGCAGGGCAGGGTAGGGTGGGGCAAGGTAGGGCTGGGTGGGGAGCAAGGGGGCACTTCAGAGGTGGTTGAATTGCAGCTGCAAACTGAATGGGGTGATGGAGATGAAGTGGGATTTAAGGGGGAAAAAGGCTCTTCCCACTCCCACGTTCCCCTAGCAGTGGTGGCCAGGCTGAGCCCAGAATAAGTTGAGCTGAGTCTGACTATCTGAGTCACAGCTGGGCCTTTCTTGTGAAGGGCAGGTGCCTGTGTCCCCACATCCAGGCCACAGACATGGCACAAGCCACAAAGGGCACAAGGTCTCCTACTCCAGGTACATGTGGACATGTAGGTGAAAGCTCTAGGGTTCAAGATGCAAGGTTAAGGCACTAGCCACAAATACTGGTAAAGTAGGGACGTCAGGCTCCTACGGCTGTCTTTGTGCTCTACTGTCAGAGTCCCATCTCCGTACGTCTGTACAGCACTACTCATGGTTCTGTGTATGAATTGAGGTTTCTCTACAGAGCCAGGCTGGGCTTATCAGCCAGTGTGATAGTTGAAGCAGCATAGGCAGAGCTTACAGCACAGCTTTGCAGCCCACTGCAGAACCAGCACAGAGAGCCCTGGCTTTCCAGGTGGTGAAATGTCCTTGTCCAGCCAGTGGACACTCCAATACTACCTTGGATCCATGCTTGGGACAGACCCAGGAAGGCCTCACCCATGATGTAAGTCAGCTTTGCTGAGACATCCCAGAGTCCTGCTTTCAGCCTTTTTGGGGACTTCTAGGAGTGCAGGAGGAGAGGGCTCAGGCTGCGTGCTGCAGTTTAAAGGGCTGTGCAAAGACTGGAGCACAGTGTGTCATCCTTTCCCATGGGGGATGGTAGCTTCTTCCTGCAGAAAGTCAGGCTGTCCTGCCCCAAGAGTAGGCTCACCCCCTCTCATGCAGCCCCTGGAGTGGGTGCTTTAAAAGGCCATGGCTGATCACCACAAACAACCTACCCAGTTTTGATCTGTTACCCTTGAGGATGTTTCTGCCCTGTATGTGCACAGTACAATTCGTTTGAGACGGATACGGCATTTATATTTCTGTTTATTTAGGTTAATTTAAATGGTTACATTTGAGCATCAAAAAAGTCATCTCTGCCAACTGCCGGCATGATTTTAAGTAGCAAAGAGAAAGGCTTTAAAAGAATGCATTCCTGTGGAGTCCTCCTGCGCTTAATTGCTCTTTCAATAATTTCTGCATCCTTTGGGTAATAAAGTGTCCCTTCTCCAAGGCTGCTGTCAGATCTAGGCATCTTAAGACACCCAGTGTAACCTGTACCGAGAAGCCCTCCCTCCATTACCATCACTGACCTTGGCCAAGGTCACTGAAAAGGAAAAGGGCTTCATGAAAGGGCTTCCTTGATCACCTAAAACAGAGCTGGAGACAGGGAGATCAAGAAATCTGATCGTAGTGGGATAGGTTACTTTAAAGATTAACTTGGGATAGGTTAGTCAGAGTAACATACAAAGATGTACAGAGTAAGCAAAGGTAGAGCAAGCAAGGCTGTGCTGTGCATTCCTAGGTAATTACACACATCAAGAGATTTTCTTTTCTCTGTATCAGTTTCTGATCTTGTCTGGGTAAGTGACAGTCAACCAGTGCAAGAGAGCCTTTTTTGAGTTGGGACACAACTCAAATAGGCATTCCCCCTACCTGTGTGTTTAATTCTGATTGACCCGTGTGGTTACCTTATAAAGAGGAGCTACACTGTCTAGGTAATGCAAAGAACATTTTGCTACATAACTTTAATTTTCTTTAGGGATGCAAATAAGAAGTTATCCATTAAGAAGAACTATTTAAAATGCAGCTTGTTTGTACTATTTAAAGTACATATGCACAAACTAATTTGTTCTGCAAGAAAATCTACTTTCAGTATATTTCCTCTGCTTTTAAAATACTGAGCATTTAACTTTTTCTCATCTCTCAGTCTTGCTGAACAGCTATGTTATGCTGCTTTGTCTGGAGTTACTGCTCATTTAAACCTGCATTAAGGGACACAGAATCAGACATGTGGCATCAATATTCTTTAACTGTTCCACTTGCCCATAAAAGACAACCATGAATCCTGGGTTCTCAATATCACTGTTGATTTACTGTTGCTGTCACTCATAACAACAGCCAGAAGCAGAAGAGCTTGGAAAGCTGTCTGAGGATTAGTTTGAAAGACTTTACCCTTGGGATGAAATTGTCTCTTTGTGGTACACAGTTACTTTATGGGTCCTATTATATTAAGAGAGAAAAATACGAGCTACTTTCACACTGGAAATACATGCCAAGCAGGATTGAAAGATCTACACAGACGTTGTCATGAGAAAAAAAAAGGAAGAAAAAAGATACAGAGATAAAAAAGCATACTTCAAAGCACCAAAATGATACCATTTTGCATAAGTATATGTCTATTGAAAAGGGTTCCAGCTGGTATCCTTAGATTAATGTTATTACTCGCCATAAATATAATGGAAACAGCTGTACTTTCTATCTTCCTAAAGGATGACGCTTACATTAAAGCTCCATTGATTTTCAAACTATAAATACAAAAATAGTACAATAGTAGGCATGAGACTCATGGACTTTCAAATACCTCTCCATCTTTGGATCTCTTAACAGAAGTGCGACCCCTGAATCATGTCAGTACCATGATTCAGAATTGTTTCAAGCTGGAAATACTGTTCTGCTTTGCTTTGCTCCATTCTGTTCCAATGTACAAGTGCTGATCTCCTTACTCCTTCAACTAGGGATCCACAGGGAAGCATTATATAATGGGGACCAGTCCAAAAGGGCATTTAGCTGCTTTCAGTGAAAATTATTGGATAAAATACACAAATATCTTCCTGAACAGGAAAGCTCTTCTCTCTCCATGGGTCAGCCATTGGGTTAAGGTGAAATTACCCTTGCTTCCAATTGCTACCTCAGTCAAGCTATACTCCAGGAAGAATAAAACTGTTTTCATCAAAAAAAAGGGGAGATTAAATTTCAAGTGGGAGAGGGAAGGAGACTCCAAAAAGTATCATGACTTAGGAGCTGTCTTGAAAGATATCATGTTTGGGTTTTAATGTACTCAGACTGAGACACAGCTAATCCAAGTCTCCCATAGCTTTATTGGGGGCTCTAGCCACACATAGAGTAAGTTAGGAGTTGGACAGCTCTGATTGTCTTCAGCTGAATTGTAAGAGCCACTTTTCCTCCATTTCCAGGGTGTTGGTATCCAACTTCTGGATTGTGAGTCCAGAAAGTTAGGAGACACCTCCTAGCAGTGCTGAATAAAGCACTCCCCGAGAAGGATACACACAACACAAGGTAGCCTTCACACATCAGCCTTCCACAGTGAGTAGTTCAGCATGTCTATTAAGAGAAGTCTCCCTTTTCCGTAAGCTGAATCAGCTCTGGATCCATGATGTTACACAACATTACAGCCAGCACAGCTCTGAGACTGGACTAACAAGGCCTTGATGCCCTGCTATAATATTTGCATGGTTTCTTGCTTGCACAAACTGACCTCACATCCAACTGCAAAAAGCCACATAGACTTGCCTTTTGGTAACTCTCCTCTGAAGGGGCTTATTTGTGAGTATTGTATTGAGGCACAGACTCCATGCTCTGAATAAGCAACCTCAGTGCCTTGCTTAGGGCCTCTGCTCTGCAGATCAATGGTACACTTCAACATACAATGTTCTTGACTTGCACAAACCTTTTTTTGGATTGGTGCCTGTTCAAATACAGTATATGTACACACAGCGATAAATCTTTGTTAACGAGGCTGTAGCATACTTGCTGTCTTTTCCGCCAGCCTCTGTGCTTTGGATCAAGGGCAACATCACATTTTTAGGGAAAAAAAGTAGTTCAGGATAGAAGTGCTTGGGTGTAAAAGTAGCAGTACAGGGGGTCAAGTAGCGTATGTATACCCCCTGAAAGGTGTAGAGTTTGGACTCCATGGGAACCTTGCACAAATGTGGGGGACTGAGGGGAAAATGACTTTGAGAGAAAGCAAGGCGGATTAGTCTGTTAGTCATTGCCATCCTGTCCCTGGGCCCAGGGTGGTAATGCAACCTCACAGCTGCAGCAGACTATAGTTCTGCATGGTGGAGATCTCCTTCTGCTAACCTTTGACACAAGAGATATGGAGGCTTTCCCCAGATTCCCAGAGCTAAGGTCATTTTTATGCATTAGTGAGAAAAAATGGATTAGTGTCTGAAGGCCAAAATAGTCAACCGTCACTTGCAGATGTCTATTTCTCTACTAATCTATAGTAATTAAGATACATAACATAAGCATTCATGTGGTACACAGGAAGATAATAGACTGAGGCTAGATGAAGACTGGCATTTGCACAAGGCAGCTTCTAGTCAGTAGCCAGTGATGAGCAAGTTACAGAGAATCTTCACTTTAACTTTTGGAGGGCATTACAAAGGATCCCCATCTCACCTGCAAAGGAAATAATCAGAACAGTTAATTCTACAGCTAGCCCATTTCTAACACTCCTGTATATATTTACCCTCCATATCCATTCCCTGAAAGAATAAAGTGAGGAAAGAAGTGCTGGATTGTACACATTTATTAGGGTCTTACTGGAGTAAGTTCTGCAAAGTCAGCCCTTTGACTTCATCAGCCATACAAGGATGGCTCACAAGATCGAGGGTGCTGGCTTTCAGCAGGGTAGCTACTGTTAGGGGGAAAACGTATCAGGAAAAAGTCTAGAGTGGCAAAAGGAAATGTGATTAAAGCCAAGCTTTTCCTTTTCTCCCTTACTGAGAACAGCTAAAGCCTATGAATGCATCACAAGGCCTTCTGGCCTTTCCTAGCACCTCAACTAAAACTGGATACTTCAGGTGCAACAAAGTACAGTCAAGTGGAAATGCTATTTTGAAGCTTGGCTAGAATTAGGAAAGAATTTTTGCACAAGAAAGGAGATGTGCTACTTTATCTTGTCAGGCTTAGAGCATTAAATGCAACCAGATGAAATTTTCTTTGTGGTTGTTATTTCTGATCCGAGTTTTGAGGAATTAAAGGTAACGAATCTGTAGTTCCTTACTATTGATAGTGTCAGCTAAGTTCTTCAGCTGCTTTGCATTGTCCAAGACTTCAATCCTCTGGGTGTAGGGATTGTACCGAACAGAGAAAGGACGAGGGATTGTTTGAGCAAATTTCCTGAGGAAAAATACAAAAGCAATCAACTTTAAAAGGTCCTTTTCTCAGTATCTCGCTCTTTTCTTGGTGTGTGCATTCGTTGATGAGGGGAATAAGAAAATCTGCATGAGGAAATAACTGAAATTCCTAAAATCTAAGACCTACAGCATTCTGTAACACACTTGAATCTGAATTTGTCCTTACCACCTTTGTTTTTTTCCAAACAGAACTAGTTATGCTATTGGCACGGCAACACTGCTCCTGGTATAGGCCAACAATGTAGCTATTGGGATTTGCCAAACTTGAAAACCTCATTTACCTTTCATTAATGCAAAATATAGAAATTCCGATCCAAGTCTGCAATTTCTGGGAGAACAAGGTCAAGTATCTATGTCATCCTGACATATCAAGGAGCAAGCAGACTGCTAACTTCTGGCATGGCTGGTAGTGGCTTCCAAGTCATTGTTGCAAAGATAGGAGATAGTCAATGGACTGAAGCAACATTCTTGCCACCCCTTATTTGCAGCCTTCCCTGCTGCAAAATAGTCAATTCCATGGCAGAAACATTAAGATTTTGGTGTCTTGGGAAAACATTAATTTGCATAACCACAGAACCATGGAAAGGAGGACTCTGAATGGGACAAGATAGTCAGAGCTATTGTTCCAGGCTCCTTGTAGACACCAGCAGGATACTGGCTTACATGTCTGCTTCAGATTACTGAAGTTATTGCTGAAAGAGGAAGGAAAGCACGCAGGGTTTGATTATGGAACCCTACTATACAGGCTGTGACTCAGCATGGTAAATCCCATATGCCCAGAACAGTGGAATATGCTGGATGCCACTTCCACATTTCTCCTTCAGTTTAGTCCTAATTATTATCAGCTAAGGCCATTGTTTCAAATAGAGTTCAGGGTGAGCAGCCCACAAGGTGTGACAGTGGAAAAAAAAATATGTTGGCTATGGTGAAAGTGTTTAGTGGCATCAATCTAGTTTTTTTCTTAGGGGAGAGATACACATCAGAAGACAGTCTTCCTAAATCTCAGCTGAAGGTAAGATCCTAAATAAAAAAATAATACCTTAAGCTGAAATACTTCAGGTCAGCCTCAGAATAATTTTTCAGGATGGTTTTCTATTACACGCAAACACACATGTCCATGTGCAAGCCATGAACACAGGCACTGGACCAACCCCCAGACCCCTATTTCAATTTAACAACTTTTCCAGTTTAGTCACTGAAACAAATAAAAGTTTCAAGATAGTTTGTATAGAATAAAGCAGCATCTTTCACTTTCTCAAGGAACTTGCTACTCAGTTAGAGAAGTATACAGAGAAGATAGAAACTGTGTGCAGGATATTAATAGCACAAACCAGAAGAGAAGGCCATCTTTTTCAGGTATTACCCCAGAGAAAAGGACAGAAGGAGATGCTGCAGGTTTATGACAACTGAGGAAGCAGCAGGGGAAGTAACTAGGAAGACCTTGGAGCTGGGGAACCTGGGACAGCAGAGTATCTTGGATCTCAGTATGTGTTTATCTGTGAATAACAGAGAGGAGAGACTGCAGGTCTGGGACAAGTCCCTGTGTGGCATCTCCAAGTGAAATATTTGTTGAGTGCGAACCAAGGCTAACCCCCAGTGGCTTGGCTAACATTCAGAAATACAGTGGTGGGGTTTTTAAACAGAAATAGAAATTTCATGAGGTGGAACCCAAGCCGAACCCTAAAAACGGTCTGAGCCATTCCTATTTCAAGAACCAGAACTGAGCCTGGACCGTTATTTCAAAGTCTGGTTGAACTGGAACTGAATCTGTACTTGAGTCACAGATGACTGAAAGATTTACTGTGTAGCTCTGTAGTCTTGTAAACACACTGCTGGTAACAAGCTGGAGGCTCTGTATTACGCTAACCACACAGGCCTCAGGATTGGGATTATTAGGCTTGCTTGCAGTTTTGTTTAGCTGTAATAACAATTGTCTAATGACCATGAGCTATTACCTAATTTGTTTTATTTTTGCTTAATTCTGAATAAGTGTGTGCAAAAATGCCTATCGTTAATAATTTTTATATAGACAGGAATAGCAAGTAGTTATGTTGTACACAGTGAACTAAGTCTGACCCTAAAGTAATGCAGCGTGAAGAAGTACCAGCATGGACTGCAAACAAAGGCCTTAAAGGCACGAACACAGGAAGATGCTGGTGGTCCCCATGAACAACTCCCCACTGGTCAGTCATTCACAGTAAAGCAAATTTAGGAGCTAGGGAAAAAAAAAAAAAAAAAACAATTTTAAAGGAAACAAAACGGACAAAGAAAAAAATATATAGCCTAAATATTAAAGTGAGAAGTAACACAGATTTGCAGACCAATGTAGAAAAAGCAAGATGTAAAGCATGTTAGAAAACATAAAAATGGCCTTAAGTAAACCTTCAGCTGAGGAGGAAGGAACAAAGCATTACCATCCACCTCCTCACAAAAAAAAGAAGAAACTCCATTCGTTAACATCACAGCCCTTCTCTGAAGACCTCAAGATGCTGATTACTTGACAACTCCACCCACCACCACAACACCATACTGAAACTGTTGACTTAAGACACAAATGAAAGTGTAAGGGTGAGTATAACTTCAGAGGAATAGGGGTAGATCCTAGCAGATTTTTTGTACAAGAACTTCTAACTATAGTATTTTTAAACAGACTTGTTTTGCATTTATCAGCTAGCTATGACCCTAAGTGTTAGTATCATTGCAATTGGACTAATAATAATTTTTGTTGCATTTTGGTTATACAGATGAAACTCTTAATTAGACTAACCACAAATTCTTGGCTTCATGCATAAGGTATGTTCTCTTTATTGCTCATAACAAGAATTTGAGTGTAACAACTGCTTAGTCTCTTTAAGCACTGCACAACTTTTTCTAATGCCTCTCAAAACATTACTGTCAACACAAGTTCTTTTGTGGCAATGGCGTCCACTGTATTGGCAATGGACAAGAAATTGGGTCTTCTGTGGAATGACTGGATTACCTTAGCTTTTCTTTTGCATCTTTAAAACTTTCTGCAACATAGTAGACAGGCTGGAACTCAGTAACAGGGTACTTCTGCACAGAAGTCTTCTCCAGGACAAGAGGCTGAATCTCAGGCTTACTTGATAAACAATACTATGAGCAAAAGGGTAAGAAACTTATTTCAGTTAAAAAGTGCTTGAATTTGCTGTGAAAGTAATATAGAGATACTGAATGCCACCCCATTTCAGACATGAAAGAATTGCTCCTGTGGAATACAACATCACTTACTAGCAAAGAAGCAAGTATGATTTCCCTGTATATGTATACACTGACACATTTGTCAGAGCTCTTCAGTGAAGTATGACATTTCATGTTACTTCTATGCACAAAGTATGAAGCAAAATAAGGGTCTGAAGACATTCAGAAGGGAAATTTGAGTGATTATAAACATCTTATATAGGATGAACATGAGCCAACGGTGTTCACTTGCAGCCCAAAAAGCCAACCGTATCCTGGGCTGCATCAAAAGAAGTGTGGCCAGCAGGTCAAGGGAGGTGATTCTACCCCTGTACTCTGCTCTAGTGAGACCCCATCTGGAGTGCTGTGTCCAACTCTGGAGACCCCAACGCAAGAAAGACAGGGAACTGTGGGAGCGAGTCCCGAGGAGGGCTACTAAGATGGTAAGAGGGTTGGAACACCTTTCCTACGAGGACAGGCTGAGACAGTTGGCATTGTTCAGCCTGGAAAAAAGAAGGCTCCAGGGAGACCTGATAGCGGCCTTCCAGTGCTTAAAGGGGGCCTGCAAGAAGGCTGGGGAGGGACTTTTTACAAGGGCATGTGGTGATAGGATGAGGGGTAATGGTTGGAAGCTGGAAGAGGGCAGGTTTAGACGAGATATAAGAAAGAAGTTCTTCACCCTGAGTGTGGTGAGACACTGGAACAGGTTGCCCAGAGAAGCTGTGTCTGCCCCCTCCCTGGCAGTGTTCAAGGTCGGGTTGGATAGAAACTTGAGCAACCTGGTCTAGTGAGAGGTGCCACTGCCATGGCAGGGGGGTTGGAACTAGATGATCTTTGATGTCCCTTCCAACTCAAATCGTTCTATGATTCTATGATCTTTGAAATCTTATTCTATAAAACACACCTGCAGCTCCCCAAATGAAGAAAGCAGCCCTGCACCGTATGCCTTGAGTGAATCGCCTTCCTTACATAGTCCAAACTCCACCGTAAACCAATAAACCTAGCAAGAAAATTAGACAGAAACATGATTCCTTGATCAAAAAGAGTAGGTGCACATCATTGATTTGAATAAATTTGGACTTTACATTTCTATTTAAAATGTTGCCATGTGTCAAGTATCAATTGTATAAATACAATAAATGTCCCCACAGACTGAAATTCTTCTCCTGGAAGGGGCACAGTGTTAGTATGCCTGTAAATCTGTTCAGTTCCCTGACAAGCACAGTTGTGTTTTACTGTGCTTATATTTGTCAGCAGAGCAGAGACAATCAAACTATAGCAATAAAATTTCATTCTGGCTGGCAAACCCCAAAGTTTCTTAGTTGATAGAAGTTTGTGTCCTGTTTCACACAGGAATGGGCTGTTAGTGCAATATTGAAGGAAGATGATGTGTGGCCTAGTTTGAATTCTTGGTCTGTCATTTTGAAGGGATATCTGCTCTGGCTCAGAAGAACTACCTCATCTATCAGAAGGAGCAAAGATGGTGCAGTGCTTTGCCCAGGTGAGTTGGTGCTGGGGACACTAATCTCATAGGCATACCCTTGTTTTTACTTGAAGTTTGCAACTCTGGGTCTCAGTAGGATTCAGGTGAGCCACACTGACTGCAGAGGACATTATCTGCCAGGCAGGGTGGAAGGGAAGAGACACTTGCAGGTAGAAGAGCTACCGAAGCTGCCTCCTGAAATTTCCTGTAGGGATGTAGTAACATGTAATCTCTGCTTGCCCAATATATTTGTGCTGGAAGAAATCTTGTCTGGGCTTCTGTGTTTAATCACAACTGTCACTTTGAATAAGGGGTGCCAAAGCTATTTTCCTTTAATGCAACTGTTTCAGGGTGGGGTTTTCCAGTCATGGACTTCACTCTGTTCCCATTCAACTCTATGGGAGTTCTACCAGTGACTTCAGTGGCAGCAGAATTAAGACAACACAGGGTGCTTTGGAAAACTGAGCCCCTACTTATTAAATTACCGTAGCGAGTTTCTCGATGAAATCATCCGGAGCTCCCAGAGATGCCAGTCCAATTTCCTGTAACAATAAACCATTATTCTTCAAGCTGTTTATTACAAACATTCTTCCTGTCTCGTCTTACGTAATTTCTCACATTTTAAATGTTACCATCGCTTACTACCACACACAAATGTTTACAGGACATGTTCCTATCATGCAACATCAATTTTAAACCAGAAATCTCTCCAGAAATTAACAAAGGGTCTTGTCCAAATGTAATTTACAAAGCATGATCCTTTGTGCCTGGTACAAAGCCCATTGAGGTCAAATAAAATTTTCCTCTTCCTTTGACAGGCATTTGATCAAGTCTACAACACACATCTGAGAGAATTATATGGTCAAAAGGAGGTAAATCAACCACATCCATACACCTTAAATATTTCTCTTGTTTTAATTGGCCCTGATTGCAGGAGTTTTCCCAAGGCCTTGAATGAGTTCTTTTTTCTGAATAACAGGGCATGATTTGAAAGAGTTTATTCATACCTTGGGAGCTAATGGAGACTTTCCTGGGAGGCAAGCAATAGCTGGATTCAGAAGACAGCCACACAAAACTATATATAACCAGGTACCTTTCTTGGTTTGCTCCAGTGAGGAATACACAGTGCAAAAATATGGGCATCACACACCCCAAAAGCATGGGAGCAGCCATTACCATGTCAAAACCTAATAAGCCAAGGTGTAGTAGGGCTTATCTTGAAGGAAAACCCTGTTCTGGGAAATGGCAGAGCCTGAGGGCAATGCTGAGCACTGACTACACCAAGTCAACATTTGTCTTTTGGGCAGGATGTTACATCAAGTCCAATTTCCTTCCTTCCCTCCCTCCCTCCCTTCCTCCCTCCCTCC